CTAGCAATCTAAGCTTCTACTTAATTGAAAGAAGAGCATCCCTATTTATATTACACATACATATACTAGTAACATGTCTAGATATGGAAATAATGAAGAAAACGTGTAAAAGGCAGCCAAAACAAGATTTTATTACCATAAATCTAAGATCTTGTTTGATATTTTCCAATCCCAATTGATCACGTTTTCATATGGTAACCCAATTTGGGTCACCAATCCCAACAGATACCGTTTTGTTATTGGATGAATCAGATAAGATCATTGAGATACTAAATTTTTAAGATATGGTTCGCGCATGACTTGAAATTTGACGATCATTTTATCTCGAGGAGGCCAGCAATCTTTGATCACTGGATCATCCGAGAAGTTCTGCATCCACGCTGATAGCAGTGGTAATTTCTCTTCATCTACCAATTTCTGATCAATTATCTCTTCCAGGATGCCGATCAAATTAACTGTCCAACCAAATGCAATATCAAGATATCCGATTGTCTCTCCCCCGAAGAATTTCTTGTCTTTCAGCTGCTCTTCTATGAGTTTCAGGTTCTGGACAGCTTCAACGATAGCTTCTTCTTGCTGTTTACCTTGAGTAATTAATACCTTCCATATTGATGAAAAAATCTGCATTGCACAATGAAGGGTATTATTAAGAAGAGTTTGTATAATACTTGCTACAAGAGAAACTAGAATATCACGTTCGGGACGAAAGAGCCCAGATTTGCTTTCCCGAACTCGTTGTCCCTTTATTGTCCCCCAATACATCATTTATACATTGGAATCTTTTCATTTTCTATGAAGAGATGATGTGCCAAGGTATCAAAAATGTATTGGGGGATAGCAAATTCGACCTGCAAATCTCAGTATGTATGACTTATCTAGGATAAAGGGGATCGAAAGTTTTGTACGGCAAGGGATTCTTGTACCTTCTCATCTCCAAATTTTGCCCAGAAACGTGCTTCAGCCTTATCATAAGGATCTCGTGGTAAAAGAGGACATTGTTTCCATGTCTCGTCAATATACTCGAGAATTACAAGTGACTCACAAATTGGCTTTCCATTGTGCACAAGTACAGGAACCTTTTTGTTAACAGGATTATACTGCAGGAGTGAAGCACTCTTGGTGCTGAGATCTTCGAATATGGTCTCATATTCTAAGCCCTTAATCTTGAGCGCATGTACGACCCTCAAAGCAAATGGACTCGACCATGTCCTGAAAAGTTTCAATTCTTCAGCCATTTCATTCTAACTTTGTGACGACCAAGTGTCTATTTATACAATTTTTTCCGTTCTTTAATGTATCATCCACGTTATAGATGTTACATTCTTTATGAATCCCATCGGTAATTTGGATTTGTTTCTATCTGTATGCTCTGACTGTTTTCGTCATATCTTGATTATGGGGGCGGCTGCAATATGAGGGCCGGTCGAATAACCTTTACTTGAGGTCGATGTTTTCTATGATGTTTTGACATTTTGCTTGTAAAGTATCAATTTTACATTGGTATCTACATCATTTTGCATAGAAAATTCTGATTTTGATATTATCCCACGTTGTATCATATGGAAAATGGTCCCGCAGCACTATTATTAATGGGGGTGTATAGAACATGACAACAGGTAGAGTAGCCTGGGAAAATGCTCCCTCAGCACTATTATTAGTTTTGATATTATCCTACGTTGGTATTATCCTACATTGTATCATAACCGAACCCAAATAATCACAAAATGGTATAAAGACTCGTATTCTTTATTTTCCATCCATCTGCTATCCTTCGATTGACTTTTCAGTGAATCGTTCTTACTACAAGTAATACTCAAAACTGATGATGGTGCCTAACTGAGAATCAACAATTTAAAGACCAAGTCTCGAATTTTCAATAACGAAGATTCATTCTAGACCCTGATTGTTTCCACAATGAGCCGAAATTAATCTTAATCTGGTTCTCTAGAACTCCACCAAAAAGATTTGGAGTGGAGTACATGGAGGTGAGAAGGCACAGAAAATTTTCAGTTTGTGCTTGTGTGCCACTGGGATTTATACCAAAACTGAACTTCTTTCGATTTACTAAGTTGCAAAAGCTTAGTGTAAGACTCTTCTTAGCAAAGGATGAAGAGGGAATGAATAGTTCAAATAAGGAAATCCATCTTACCAGATTATATCAAATCATATTTATGATTGCTATTGTCTACTCGAATAGAAACAATTACAACTGGTCTGATCTTTTATGATTTGTCATTTTAGACAACGGTTCAAGTCCATTTTTGAAATTATATCTTCTTACATGTCAACATATCCCTACTACCTCTCCGTCCTATTAGTTTTCTGCACATTAGGACATTCTAACAAACTGTTAGAATGCAAAGAAATAGTACCAGCGCGGTGCGGCCACTGTTGGCACTCCAATACTCAAATCAAATGTTGGGATTTGGAGTTTTGGATATTGTATACCATTTACTACTGTATACTTTTTACAGGTGTAAGTCTAGAGTATTTTGAGTTTAGGGTATTTTTGATACTTTAATTATTGAATCGGTTGATTTGGACTATTGCCAGCAAATTATCAACCATGTCATTGTCGTCTTTGATTTGGCACCTCCTTGTACGCCCTCCCCCCGGCCCCCCTGTACCGTGCAGGGCCACATAGCTTTTTCACCACCTTTGGGACCCTCCTATTTACCATATGTTGTGCTTGTGAGTGGTCCCTCACTTAGTTGTCTTAGAAATGTCAAATATTGTTCGTTATCTTTCTCATTTGAAAATTGTTTGCAACTAGTATGAGATTATGGCCCCGTTTCAAATTAAAATCAGATTTTAATTTAAATTAAATAATTAATATTTACCACATTTTTTATGGATACTACAATTTTTCTATCAAATATTTCAAAAACTTCTATAACAATCTACTAAAAATATAATTTTAATCCCCCACAAAACACTCACTATATATATCTATGCCTCTTTTGGGAAGATCGTGCATTACCCTACTGTAACCCCCAGGAACTTATGTCCTGGATGTTACTCAAATAATTCATTTAGTCATTATAAAAGTTGATTTACACACTATAATATAAAAATAAAAGAACTTTGTGAAATAAAATAAATTATTTTATATCTCATAATATGTCAAATAAATTCAATCAGCTAATGAAATTTAAATCCATTGATTTTGAAAATAAAATTCTCATTGCAAAATAATTTTCTAACTAAATATTGAAAGACAATTTAAATTCTTGATCCCACGACACGGACTCTACTAGCAATCTCAACCTCCAACTCCAATCAATCAAGCATCTGTAAAATATTTTAAATATAGAATAAGTATACGAATTCACCACTACAGTTTAATATAAAAAGCAAGAAAATTATACACATAACATAACTTTTCTAGTGGGATAGAAACCTGATCGTCTCATTCTCACTTAGGTCATATCCATTCTCAATCTTCACATAGGGTATTTAGCTCTATGGCTGGTTTTCGTATAGATCTACATAATAATACCCTATAATATTACCCACAAGATCCTTCTTTAATTTGAATCACATAATAGAACATAAATTACTTAACTTAAAACATTAAAAAGTAAAAACACAAAACCTCTTGGCACATATATTGAAATCCATAGCTTATTCGTTAAATTGCTTGTATACTTGAGCTACTTATGACTGAAAATTCTTACGAACGAATCTCGAACACGCTAGAAAAATATTTTCTTTTCTTTATAAGAGTCACAAAATATGTCGTATTGCATCCTCCGCTCCTTAAAAAATAAATTCATTCTCGAGATTTATCTTGGTTATCGAAGAGTTGTGGATATTTAGCTTTAATATATGTCTCGCATTCTCAAGTGGACTCTTCAACCGCTTGATTCCGCCGCTGAACTTTTACCAATGGAGTTTCTTTATTTCGATGTATTCGAAACTTCCTATCCAAAATGGCTATTAGAGCTTCCTTGTAAGTTACGAATGTCTAACTCATAGAAACATGGAAGACATGCCGGTCGTCGATTAGAAGTTGATCGTGCCGGTCTTGATGTCGTGTGGATCGAAATTTATATAAAACTATAACATAATCTAAATTTTAATTTCAAAAAATCCGGAGAAACGATTGACTGAGCTCTGATACCATGCTGTAATGCTCTGAACTTGTCCCGAAAGTTACTCGGATCATTCCTTTAGCCATTATAAAAGTTAATTGACACAATGTAATACAAAAAATTTGAAGAACTTTGCGGAATAAAATAAACTATTTTATGTTTCATAATATGTCAAACAAATTCAATCCACTAATGAAATGTAAATCCATTGATTTTGAAAATATAATTCTCATTGCAAATAAATTTCGAAATAAATATTGAAAAAAAAAATTAATTCTTGATCCTGAGACACGGACTCTGTTAGCAGTCTCAATCTCCAACTCCAATTAATCATCTGAAAAATATTTAAATATGGAATGAGCATACTAATACTCTCAATATAGATTTCATGCTAGTGTTTTCATATTTAAATATAAAAAGCACGTAAATTACGCACATAACATAATTTTTTTAGTGGGATAGAAACATGACTGTTTCATTCTCACTTAGGTCATACCCATGATATTACCCACAAGATCCTTATTTAATTTGGATCACATATATCTTGTATTTAATGAATTAAATACACATTAAAAAGTGAAAACACAACCACTTGGTGCATATAAAAATCCATATCTTATTCGTTAAATTTTTAGTATGCTTGAGCTACTTAGGATTGAAAATTATTGCGAACGAATCTCAAAAGCCCTAGAAAACATTTTCTTTCCTTTTACTTTCTCTTCTTTCTTCTCTCTCCTTTTTTTCTTTCTTTCTCACGTTTTTCTCTCTCTTTTTGTACTTTTTTTCCTTTTCTCTCTCCCTTCTTTTCTCTCTTCCTGTGTTCTTTTTCTCTCTGAATTTTTGTGAATTGAAGTGCAACAACAAAAAGGTATTTATAGGTGCAATTTGATAAGGATAGTTACCTAATTAGAATTCTAATAGTTCTCTTAATTCAAATTTAAATTAGT